GCCCCTCCCTCCCCGCGCATTCTTCTTCCTGGGGAGGGGGGGCGGTGGCCCGGCCGGGCGGGGCGGCTCTGCCCACATCTGGAAACTTCTCTCCTTCCAGAAAACAAAAGCCGGCACCACCGGCGCTGGCCCGGCGGAGGCCCGGCTGCGCGGCGGCGGCCTGCGGCCCCGGCCCATATTCTCTGATTAACACTGAACAAAGCTGAGTCAGGTTGGCCTTCCAGTCCCCATCCCGGCCCAGGAGTGGCAGAGCCAGGTTTGTCTCACAGGGGGCTCGGGAGGGAAGTTGACAGACTGAGCCCACTCATACTGCCACCCAGTGAGTACACTTGTGTGAGTTAGTGCCTCGATTTCCCCATCTAGACCAAGGAGGTGTGTGTGTGTGTGTGTGTGTGTGTGCGCGCGCGTGCGCGCGCCAGTACTGGGGCTGGAACTCAGGCCGGGCTGAGTACCTTGGCTTTTTCATTCAACAACTCCACATGTGGCTTTTTGGTGGTTAGTTGGAAATAAAAGTCTCATGGACTTTCCTGCCCTGGGCTGGCTTCAAACCATGATACTCACATCTCAGCCTCCGGAGTTAGTCAAGATCACATGCTAAAGACTAGCACCCACCCCATGGAGATGATCTCCATGATAATAATAACATGAACGTCACTGGCTGGCCTGAGGACCCATGACTTCATGCAGGTGAGTGCTGAGGCCCGGGGCCTGCTGTGTCATAATTATTAGTTACTGTTATCCGCTGGCATTCCAGAGGGGCAGAGTTTAGCCACTTCCCTCCTACTCCAAGCAGGCTGGATGGGCCCTGATGAGAGTCTCTTGATGTCCAGTGCATGGGGGGCTGGGAGCGAGATTAAGGTGACTGTGACATATCTCAACCATATCTATTTTGTCTCAGCCAGGAGACAGCCTACTGGTGGCTCTGATTGGCTGATGGCCTGGCCCCCTCTCCTTTAGACTGGTTCCCGCCCTCTTTTTACAGGCTTTCCAAACTCCTGATCTCTCAACTGCCCAGAGGGACAAGCAGCGGCCCCAAGCTCACCCCTAGCCTAAGGCTCAGCCTCCATCCTGTCTCCTCCATCTAACCACCTATGTGGGCTCCTGTGTAGAAACTAACCACCCCAACTCTCCTGCCTTCCTTTCCCCTCCCTCAGGTCCTGTGCCCATCCTCCCCCACCCCCACCCCCAAGCTGGAGAAGGGAAACCATTTTTTTCTGCAAGCACCATTTGGCATGTGATGGTAGCTGGCATTGATGTTTGTGGTGCTGGAAAGATGTGCCTATATTTGTGGAATTGTGAGTTCTGCCAGCGGCTGCCTCAGTGGTCAGATCCCATGAGCTCACAGACTTGACCAGACCCGAGGGTGGGCCTTCCCTTCCCCCACACCAGACTCAACTTCTTAGGGGGCCCAGCCCACTGACACCTTGTCCTGCGCAGGCCCAGACTGAGGGATTCCGCAAGGGCTGGCCTTGAGGAGCTGTGTTGGCATCAACCCCTGTGCCCTGCTGAGCCTCAGTTTCCTGAGAGGGAGGGGGGAAGGGAGGAAAGAGAGAGAGCAAGCTCATAGTTGATTCCTTTTCTTTCCAGGCTGCCCATGGGGGACTAAGCAGAGCTGCTGGGTCATGACTCTCCCATCACCCCAGAGAGTACTGGAGATCCTGGGGCTCTCAGAGGGCAGAAAGCCAGGACCTCTGCCTTGATGCCAGCTCTTTGCCATCCTCTTCAAGAGTGACTGCATTAGGCAACTTCAAACCATTGTTCCCATCCCATCCCCACCCATCCCCAGCGCTGTAAATTCTGGGTGAGGTCAGAAGGCAAGAAAGACGTTCCTCTGACTGCCCCTGCCTCTGCCTGTCCACTGTGGCCCAGACGGGAGCCCTGGGCACCGCACCCTCTGGGGAGCTGTCAGATGTGGGCATCAGTGCTTTCAAGTGTGGCCCTGCCAAGCTCAGCCATGTTTGAGACGCCAGGGGATGTCTGGAGGCTCGGCTCCCTTCATCTCACTTGACACCAGGGCAAGGGGGAGCCGTCTTTGCAGCCCTGGCAAACCAGGGTGTGCCCACTATTGTAACCATGTGTCCAGAGTCCAACACATCTTCAAAAGGACCAGTTCTTACATCAGTTTGCCCACTGCAAGAGTGGAAGCCTGGGCGTGGGAATCGGGTGGGAGAGAAACTGGGTTTTGGGGTCAGATTGGGCTGGGCTTGAATCTGGCTCCCACAGCTCACCGGCCTGGTGACTGGTGAGTGATGATCGCCATGGTCAAGCGGCAGCTGAGGTTGCACCTGCCCATCTCACAGGGGACCCATGTGTGTCCAGTGCCTGGTGCTCAGGCGCCCTTACTGTTACCATGACGACCTGGCACTTGAATACCGGGACTTCCTCTAATAAGATTTACCCAATTGTAGCTGCTTCCTGGGCCTATTGAAGTAGCTAGCCAGAATCCTACTTTTTCATAGGAGAAAACAGCGTCAGCTTGACCCCAAGGTCACAGGTCAGGTAAGGGGTGGGAAGACTGGAACTCATCTTTTCCATCCAGCCGAGAGAATTCCCAGCCAGTGCAGGGAGGCAGGGAGGTCTACAGGCTATTGGGTTCAGGGTACAGTGGTAGAGGTCAGCTGGGCAAGGAGGCCAGGGCCACATCCTCTGAGGCCCTCTGCGGCCTTAACCCTGGGGCCTTTCCTGGGAGAAACTGTTATCTTCACCCCACTATTGGGCTTGGCAAGCAGATCCAGAGCTGGGTGGCAGTGCCCATCTGTCTCACTGGCTTTTGGATGGTCTGTGTCTAGCTCCAGCATCAGAGTTTCAGATGTTTTCTTCTCTACCCTCACTCCCCTACAAAAAGGAAAATGGTTTTTTGATGATGTCCAGAAGGCATGGTGGTGTCTGTAACCCCAGCTAGTCAGGAGGTGGATGTAGGGAGATCATTGACTAAGGCTGATTTGGGCCAAAGTGTGAGACCCTATCTGAAAAACTAAAAGCAAAAGGGCTGAGATCTGAGGACTGTGGTTCAGAGCCAGCCCAGACAGGAAAGTCTGAGACTCTTTTTTTTTTGTCGGTTGTGGGGCTTGAACTCTGGGCCTGGGCGCTGTACCTGCGCTCTTCAGCACAAGGCAAATGCTCTACCGTAGCTAGGATTATAGGCGTGAGCCCGGCAGTGTGGGACCTTTTTTTTGGGGGGGGGTCTGGTTGTGGGGCCTGAACTCTGGGCCTGGGTGCTGTCCCTCAGCTCTTCAGCTCAAGGCTAGCGCTCTACCACTTCTTTTTGCTTATGTGGTGCTGAGGAATTGAACCCAGGGCCTCATGCATGCAAGGCAAGCGCTGTACCACTGAGCCACCTTCCCAGCCCAGGTACTCTTATCTCCAATGAATCACCAGAAAACCGGAAGTGGTGCTGTAGCTCAAAGTAGTAGAGCACTAGCTTTGAGCTAAAAAGCTCAGGGACATTGCCCAAGTCCTGAGTTCAAGCCCCACAACTGACAAAAAAGAGGGGCACTAGGGACATGGTTGGGGGTGGTAGAGCACTTGCCTAGCAAGTGTGAGGCCTTGATTTTAATCTCTAGTCCTGGAAAAAAAAATAATTTCCCAGCTGGGTGTCGGTGGTTCACACCTGTAATCCTAGCTACTCAGGAGGCTGAGATCTGAGGATCACGGTTCAAAGCCAGCCCAGGCAGGAAAGTCTGTGAGACTCTTATCTCCAATAAACCACTAGAAAACCGGAAGTGGTGCTGTGGCTCAAGTGGTAGAGTGCTCGCCTTGAGCTGAAGAATTGAGGGACAGCGCCCAGGCCCAGAGTTCAAGCCCCACGGCCAATAACAACAACAAAAAATTATAATTTCCCAGAAGCCACTGAGGCCCTCTGTAGCCTACCCCCTCCTCTGCCCTCTTCAGAGCACCCCTCTTCCTAACTGGGGTGCTCTGCATTGTATTCCTCCCATTGTACTGTGCCTCAGGATTTGGCCAGGCTAGCCATATCTGAGGCTAGCTTCTGCCAACTGCGGCAGCCAGCCCCTCCCTTGCTGGCCCAGCTCAGAGAACACACTGGAATCTTCAGGCAGCTGCCTGAGCTCCCTGGAGGGGCCTGACAGCTGACCTGTGCCAGTCACTGGCTCTGCCACAACCAAGAATGTCGGCAGCAGTCATTAGAGCACAAAGGAAGGTGGAGAAGATGGGGGAGGGGGGGAAGAAGGGGATGCTGGGTCTTCCTGGAAACTTCTAGATACTGCCTCTCTGGGAGTCCATTTCTAAAGCACTATCTCTAGCCTGCCTTCCCCCTGGGACTGATTTTTACCCTCTTTCTCCATCACCACTGAAGGGGGCTCAAGAGGGGTCAGGTGTCTGGGTTGGGGTCCCCCTGCCCTTGGCTGTTGAAGCCAGAGAATATGGGGACCTGGATGTTTCAGACCTTGGTCAGAGGCCAGCACTGTGACTCATTTTCTTCATCTGTACAATGAGACCATTGGACGGGATGTTCTGGAAGTCTCTTTCCAGGGCCATGAATCAAGTTACTCCTCTACGCCTCCCACCCTCCCTGTGGCCTGCAGCTCCAGCAAAGTGTAAACTGGGGCGGGCCTGGGGGTGTGGATAGTGCTGCTGGAAGTCCTTGCGTGACCAAACTTGGGTCTTCTCCTGGCCGCCAGTGTGTGCATCCTGGTAGATTCTCATTTTAAGTCAGGTTAGCTAGGACCTTCCCTCCTCTCTCCCTCCCCCCCTGCATCTAATCAGATGCTCCCCCCCAGTGATGCCCCATTACCCTGATGGGCTAGCCCAAATCCCCCTCACACTAATGACCTCTTCTTGCTTACTTGTCCCTACTGACCCCGATCCTGCTACCTGCCCCCCCCCCCCGCGGGTTGAGCCAAGCGCCTCCTCCCAGCTACATCCTATCTAAGTGGTCCACCATGGTTTGCCAGCTATGACCCCTGAATACAACCTTCCTCACCACAGTTCCGTAAGTGTCACCAAATGATTTCTTAAAAGGGGAGGGGAGGGGAGGCCCT